TCATATAATATTTAAAATATTAATATTATTGTTAAACGTTAGAATTGGGTCCCAGATTAGCGATCAAAGTTGGTCTCTATTTTACTAAGCGGCCAACTTTGGTCGCTAAATTTGAATTATATTTATTTATATTTTATATTTTTTTTAAATAATATTATAATTATTAAAATTTTATAATTGGGTCCCAAATTAGCGACCAAAGTTGGTCTCTATTTGTTTACTCTTTATTTAGCGACCAACTTTGGTCACTAATTTTAAATTTTATTTATTTATATTTTATAATTTTTTTAAATAATATAATAATTATTAAAATTTTATAAGTGGGTCCCCTTTAGCGACCAACGTTGGTCGCTAATCTGAGTATTTCTTTGACCAAGCAAGTCTGACCAGTCCGGTCAACAGTTTAACGAAATTTTCGACCAAGTAGCGACCAACGTTGGTCGCTAATGTATTTAAAATTATTATTTTATTATTTTCACATGCTAAATTTTGGTCGCTTTTTACAGGAATTCTAGTAGTGCACCTCAGCATGAAGCATCAAATGACCTGTTCCTGATAGTCTCCAATATCGTTGAGTGATAACGTTAAAGTTATGTAACAGCAGCCTCTCAAAATTCATTCCATCTTTTGTTGTTCATCTTATTGGTCTCCATACAAACATTTCCCTTTGTTCATCTTGTAGGATTACACTGGGTATGTTGTTGTATTTATCTTTGCGGCAACCAATGCTAAATCTAACAATAACGATCTCTGGTGAACTACCTTATATGCTGTTGATGGACTTGCTTTTGTATATTCAAGCTTAAAATGTAGGATGCTAATATATATTCTTTAACATAAACTACTCTATTTTATCATGGTATTCATAGAATAGTTGAGTTACACGCAATTGTTTTAGAAAAGAAAAGCAACTCTACTTGTTCTTGTTGGATGACTTTTTTTTCTAGTATCACCCGTGCCGTTGAACGGTACTCGGCAGTTTGTTATACTCGTTCAATGTAGGAAGATGTACTACTAAGATACTCTAAGAGAAATATTTCTAAGCTCAATTCCATTACTTTTAGATTTTGATGAGTTGCTAATTAAGTTGGGACGAAGGCTTTGAGAAGAACAACTCAAAATTACTTTTCTTCAGTCCCATATGGACTTCATTAGTGGAATCCCAAAGGAAAGAAAAAGTATATTTTCAAGGAAATGTTAGAACTGGAATCATTTTCGTAACCTGGCTATAAAATATCATGTTAGGAATGCTTTTAGATCCCGCCATTTTAGTGTAAAAGTTATTTTGTGATTAAATAATATCCAACCAAAACATGGGATAAAGTTAATCCCAAACATTATCCGGGATTATTATTCTTATCCAATATTTTAAAAGGCTTTCTTGGGACTCGCCTCGAGGCTCGTCCGGGGTGGGGCACTATCAAAACCCCCGAGGCTCACGTATGGGGCTTAGTTCTGTGAAACTTACGCGCCAAGAGCCCAACTATGCGCCCGAAATATGCTTAATGCTCAATGCTTGGGGCTCGCCTAAAGTTCCTAACGCAAATTATGCGTCTAATTACCTAATTAGCACTGTTGACCTTCAAAACTCTTTAATAAATGAATGATTACAGTTCTATTCATCTATAAAAATATGAAAATGGAGAGCAACTCAAAATAGTGAGTCATAGTATTTACATATTTACTAATTGAAAATATCGTAATGGGGAGTATCATTTGAAGTGTCAAATTTTGCATCATTACTTGCTATAGGTTGTCATATCTTTGTTTATGTCTCTCAAAAGTATCATAAATTTATTATTTCGCTATTTGAAATTAATTTTATATTTATTCAAAAGGAATAATATTTTAAATTAGAAATTTGAAGAAATTTAATGATTATTAACTTTTAGATAGGTAAACTTTGTAGTTTGATAATATTTTTAACCTTATTATGATTTTTTTAATCGTTTGGAGGATAAGACGTTTTAGTTGATTTTTATCTCATAGTAACTTTAACACTATTTCATTATTTATGTTAATAAAAAATGTCATATATTTTGTTTTTATGAGTTTTTAAATCCCTTATATTTTTTTAAATTTTTTAATGTATTTTATATATTTTTATGATTATTTTACTATTTTATTTATTTATTTATAAATTTAAAAATCCATGAGGCATACGCCCTGTTTCGGGGCTTATACCTCACCTCAACGTTAAGTAAACGCCCACCTTAGATGGTTAATTATCGGTTACATAACACACAGCTCCAGGTACAAAAATCAACTTGACATGAGGGGGATTATTGCGAAATAAGGACTGTTTTTGTCTAGACACATTGGAATAGGAAGATAATTACAAAATTTTTGTCCTAATTACAAGAGTAACACATAGCAACTGTCAACCTCTATTTACAAGAACAAGTACACCAAACTCAAAATTAACTAATTACCAATCTAACTCAAATGCTTCATTAACCTATAGAGCAATTTGTACAATAAAACAACACCACCACCCTCAAAATTCTTGCACCATACACTACCAATATGCCTAGCAATCAAAGGGCACAAAATCATATAACTTAGTTTTTATACAAACATAGAGTCTGAGCTAGACGCAATGAGTTCTGTCGGATCGATTGCATATATTTTAGATCCGTCACTGGTCCCGTACCTGTACTCCTATACCCAATTCGGTCCGTGACCCCTTCATTTACCTAATCAATTTCTGCATGCTTCAACCCATCGATAACTATATATAGGGTCTCTGCCAGTCTATATATTCCTTGATTTCGCACCCCCCAACCCCCACCCCACCCCAATTCGGCCAGTGACCCCATCATTCTACCTAATCAATTTTGGAATGCTTCAACCTAGTGCTATGGGAAAAGATGTAGATCGATCGACCTAGATAGACAATTACATAGAGGGTCTCTACTAGCCTATATATTCTTTGATTCCCTCCCAAGAAAATATTATAACCTATGATGTCTGTTGCCAAAAACCAGAAAATAGACTTTGATGGGGCATGAGCTACATTATGCAATATGACACCTAGAAAGCAAATGAATTAATGGTCATTGAAGCTTAACTAGCTTTAATCATTTGCCCTCTTTGCATTTGAGTTTGAAGTTTCTCTTTAGCATGCCTCAGTGCATCAAGAACTTCTCTCACTGTAGCATCAAGAACAATTGGATCAATAGTTTGCTTTGTCTTTGGCAGATCCATAGGAACTAATGCCAATGAATTGTCCACATTGTCCTCTTGAAAATCCACTTCATTTCCTCCATTTTTGTCTTCCTCCTCAACTGAAGATTTCAATCTAGAACCATAATAACAAAAATGTTAGTACAAGAATATTGGATGGTTTCACATGAATAAAGACCTTAGAAAAGATAACATTATTCTTTATCTGCAAATTGAGTATGAATTTAACTTCAATATACAGACTCAAATCACCTAAAAGATAACTACAAGTATCATTCACAAAGGGTGGCATCCGTAACTTGAAAAATAATGAAGATTACCTATTATAACTAATTAAAATACACTGATTATAAAAAATGAATTATACTATCGCTGTACAACAACAACATACCCAGTTATTCTCACAAGTAGGGTCTGGAGAAGCTAGGGTATGTACAGATAGGATAGTCTTACCCCTACCTGAAGCAGGTAGAGAGGCTAGAAGACCCTCGATTCAATTATATTGTTACCGTACAACAACAACATAATACCCAATGTATTCCCACAAGTAGGGTTTGGGAAGGGTAAGGTATATGCAACCTTACCCCTACCTGAAGCAGGTAGGGAGGTTGTTTCCGAAAGACACTCGGCTTAATTACAATATCACTATAAAAAAAGGGGGAGGGGGGCAACGCGGTACACTAAGCTCCCGCTATGCGCGGGGTCCGGAGAAGGGCCGGACTACAAGAGTCTATCGTACGCAGGCTTACCATGCATTTCTGCAAGAGGCTGTTTCCACGGCTAGACTCCCCTTCTATCAATTATACTATCACTGTATATAAATTAAATCTATTGAGTATACATACCTATTGGGATCTGTCTTTGAGAATTCAAATTCACTTGATTTAGCAGAATGTTCTTTTGCTGAAAGATTCTCATTGTCTTGGCTAGAAGTACTCATTTGTGAACCATCTTTCTCTAAATTGTCTGACTTTTCTTCAGATATTCTCTTCTGAATGAGCTCTGAACAATTAAGATTTTCATAGCTGGATTTTGTACTCCCAACTGATTCTTGACACTCCCTATCTTCTGATTGTTTGGCACTGCTGCAAGCTGTGGATGTTAGAGATGAAATTTCACTCTTTAAAAAGCTTGAATTCTCTGATTCATCAGAAACATAAGATATATTCTTGGATTCAAGCTTCTTTATCAGAAATTTCAGCTTCTTCTCTGCGTTGTCCCTTGATTTAGTCTCTTCTTTCAACTTATTCTCCAGCTCAATCAGCTGTAATTTTCAAAGAATTACACCATGTTACTTCAAGTAAAAAAATTTTTTTTTTTTTTAGATTTATACCAACAACATAAGCACTTTTACTTAAAAACAACAACAACATACTTAGTTTAATCCCACATTGTAAGATCTGAGGATGGTAAAGTGTATATAGACCTTGTCCTTACCTTGCAGAGGTAAAGAGACTATTTCCGAGACACCCCGACTCAAGAAAAAACTTAAAAGAACGGAGGAATTGAATAAAAACCTTGGTTCCCATAATCTCTGCCTCTTCTTTTGCGTTTCTTGAAGCCACTCTTTCAGCTTGTAATCTTCCTCTTAGACATTCCACTGTTCTCAAAGTATCTTCTTCTTCCATTTTCTTCTCACTGAAAAAAAAAACAAATCAGAAAATACAGGGGCAGAGTCAACATTTTAAGCTTATGGGTTCGAGATTCTAATCATTTTAAGTTATTGGGTTGTAAATTAATAATTTATACATATTCAATAAATTTTTTACTACAAAAACAGGGTTTGAACCAAAGTTACTAGGTTTGATCGAACCCACTCCCGGCACTCTAGCTACGCCCTTAAGAAAATGTTTCAAGATTCAAGAAACATAAAAAAAAGGGGCCAATTTAGACTTATACACTTTGATCATGGGTGGAATCAGGATTCTTACTAAACACACGAACAAATCGAAATCAATATATAGTATATATATTTATAAAATGTATCTAATTTATCTATTTATATAGTATAATTTTCAGCAAGGACTCCGCCACTATACTTGAGTAGTTCCAACAAATAATAAGAAATGAGGGAAATACCTCAATTTTCCATCTGCATTTTCTTCACATGTCATCTTATCTATTCTCTTGTACTCTCCGGTCAAAGCAAGAAATTTTGATCAGAGAACACTCTTAAATTAGTAAAACATCAAACTCAAAAACTGAGGAGAACAACTTTGCTTTTACAAAAATGGCCACAGTATCAGTGCAAAACTTTTGAGAAAAGGTGAGGGATATATAAGAAATACTCCTAGAAAACTTGATTGTTTACTGAAAATACTAGAGACTAACTTTTTGAAAAAAACTTCAAAGAATCAGAGACAGAGTTTTGGACAGTTGCCCCACAATAAATTGTCTTTTTCTGTAACTTCACATTAAAGTTATAGCCAACCTTATTGTCAGTACACTTTAAGTGGTCATTAATGCAACATTAATGTTCTCTTCCCGCTATTAAAAAATTCAAATATGTAAAGTAATTGTCTTATCGACAAAATTTTCTGCTATTGCGGATCTATATGTATAGGAGTTTTTGTTTTTAAATTTAAAAAACAGCATTAATTATAAAAGTATCTTCTAGAATTACTTTTAAAAAAAATTAAACATATCACTTAATTAACATTCTAATTAATTCACTAAGGGTGAATTTAAAAGCAAAAAAGTAGTAATAAATATTATTTATTGTAATTATACTGCAAATTGAATGACTTTCTGTGAAATTAATCAGATCATGAGGTAAGAAAACAACCAATTTATTTGCTCTAACGTTAGACATATTTCTTTTTTCATTTATAATTTATTTAGGAGTTTAATTCCTCACTTGCTCATTTCAGCTCGTGTTTGAATTTGAAATTTGAAGAAAAAACAAGGATATACTTAAAATACTGATGAAAGTGTTGGCTAGACTTGTCACATGAGTTTCCTTGCATTTGTCCCTTTCCTTTTCTGGCTTCATTCTTTGCTCGTGTTTGCCTTCTCACTTGGGTAATAAACTTAAACCTGCCGACAGAGTGGGAACAAAACTTCAATGCAAACATAGAGTTTAGTCAGGGGCGGAGGCGCGATTTTCATCAAGAGTGTTTAACATCTACATATATACACATAAAAAAATTGACCTAGTGGGCGTTTGGACATAAGAATTGTGATATTATGAAAACAGTGAACTTTTTTTTTTTTTTTTAAAGTTTTTTAAATTTTTGAAAAATTCTGAAATTCATCTTCAAGTGAAAATTTGAAAATTTTATGGCCAAACACTAATTTCGAAAAAAGTGAAAATTCGAACCATTTAATTTTGTTGTGTTGTAAAAAATTATGGTCAAACGAGCCCCTAATATATAAACTGTAATTTTTCAATTAACCAAGTTTGAATGATCCCCTCTCCCCCCACACACAACCCTATTCTCTAGAAAGCCCCATTTCTTATTATTCTTTTTGCGGAAAAGGGCCAAACCTGCACCTAACGTATCAACTTCGGTCTAAAAATACCCTTCATTAACCTATGTTGCTAAGAATGACCCTACCTTTAAAAATCTGGCATATTTGTGCCCTTAGTTCTAACGGATGGGTTATGATTTGTTTTAACATTTATTAATTTCACGTGGCTATTTCCGATTGACCATTAATTAAGGCACACCCCAAACCGGATTTTACCCCACTCATAACCCAAATAGACCGACCCGACCCAACAAACATTGTTTAACCCCCCAAAACACCGGGTGTTAGGGCATTTTTCACTCACTTCATTACCAAATTACATCAATTTCTCTCCTCCTCATCTCCAATCTTTTAACTCGAATCTTTGATAAATTTGAGTACATTTCGTTTTAAGCTTCAAATGGCAGAATCTTCTTCTACTTCTTCTCGTGACCCAAGTAATGCTCGTGCTTGTTATTGCAGACTGATGGCCAATCATTTTGCTTCTACGACACCTATGAATGGTGGTCATAGATTCTATAATGTCCTTGTTGAGAGTAATGGTTGTCGTTATTAGGAATGACGCGATGAAGAACTTCCACCTCATGTATCAATGTTTATCCACAAGCAAAAAATTACAGTGGATGCTCTTCGTCAAGAAAGGAATAAGTTTAGAAAGATGGTTGATGATATGGTTGATAGTAAAGCTGAAAATTTGAATAGTGTATCTGCATTGGAAGAGAAAGTTTCAAATATGGAGTTGAAATTGAAGCAATGAAAAAAAGTTTATAATATGGTCATGGGCTATTTTTGTTATATTTGTGGCTTACAAAATGATGTAGAGAAGTTATGTTTTGGTTAGTAGTGTCCAAATGTACTGACGATAAGAATCTGTTGGTTGTTGTGGCTTATAAAATCTGCAAGATGATGTAGAGAAGTTGTTTTTCTTAGTAATGGTTATCATGTTACGACTTACAAAATTGCAAATTATTGGCATAGTTGTTAAATGAAGGGAATTTACAGCTTTTAGTTAGGTTAATGTCTATATATTTTAGTGCTAGTAGTTGAATTTGCAGTTGTCTTTGTACTGTATTTTTGTATTGCCATTTTCATTTCTGTTTTCATTGGTATGTTATGCTAATTGAAATCTAAAGTAATGCTACAAGAACTAACATCATGTTATGCACATTCAAACAAACAACATCAATACAATAATTTCCACAATTAATAGATAATAAGATCATCAATAGATAACAAAGCATTGTTATATATAGCCAACAAAATACTTAACAACCAACTGTCACAATGTGTTTCACCCTAATATAAGCCCAACAAAAGTTTTTTGGGGTGAATCAATACAACAACTTCCGCAACTGATTCACCACAAAAACAATACATAATAATTTATGAATCAGTCATCACAAAAACATAGTTTTGTTTCCTAAGTTAAAAATTAGTCATTCAAACACAATTGAGATCCCTAGAGCTTGATCTTCTTAGCCTTCAATTTACCAACTTTTTTTGCCCTTTCTGCCAATAATTGTCTTGATGTCATTGCCACTTTGCCTTTCCAAATGACTTTCCTTGGTGAATTGGGCAAGTTTGTAGGCACATTGGCACCAGATTCATCACCCTTGAATGCAATCTTCCTTGTACCAGTTGGCATTTACCTCAACTTTTTCTTTTGAAGCCTAGTCTTAGCTTCAAATATCACCTTAGGTCTTAAAACTTGATATTTATCTTTATCTTCAGATATTGCATCTCTATCTTCATGGTCATAGTCATCATCCAAAACAACTGATGATGTAGCTGGTGCTGGTTCACTCTGAGTAGAGGTGTTTTATTGATGTGTGTCTCGGGCTTCTGTCATTGGCCTCATTCCAGGTGTAGGAACAAAAATAATTTCAGAAGTTTGACTATCTTGGGGTGCTGTCAAGGGCACATCTTGTACTTCATGGGAAGATCCTTCATCTTAGGAAGAAGTGGCTATGTTTGCCTTTCACCCAGAAGATCAAACAATGAAGGTATCACATTTAGAGTTATTGTAGTTAAAATTTTTTTTGAAGTTAATAAGAAGGGAATGAGTAGCATTACCAAAGGGCATTTTCTAATGTTGTGATCTCTCTCATTGCAATATCCACATGTCATGACAAGTCCTTTTCTTGAAGCTGAACAAACCCCCTCTCTCTTCCTTGCCTCATCCTTCTCTCTCTTTCTCTTTACCTTTAGTCGACCAACTATTTTGACAATTTTTGGTGCCTTCATTGCATGATGTGGTTTCACCTTTCAAATTTTTTCACCTCTAACTGGTTGTATTTTATGCATATACACATCCATGTTAGCTTCCATTGAGTACCACAAATGCACTTCACTCAATGGCTCTTCTTTCTTGTCAATTAAAGCTCTAATTGCATGGGGACAGGGAATTCCTGTCAAGTCTCATGTTCTACATATGCACTTTTTTAGTTGAAAATTAACAGTATGCTTCTCTGGACCTTCATGTACTTCATAACCAAATTCACTATTAAAATCAACGTCACACCCTTGTACAATTTCTCTGAAATCACCCAATAACTCCATCGCATATGAACTGCATTCATCTCTCCAACTCCTACATTTATCTTCATGATCTTTTAACATTTTCAGTACCTTTCAAACAAGGAAAAACCAATAATCAAATACTATGATAAACATAGATAAAATCAGTTAGTTTCAGAACACACTAAAATAGTAATCTTGATTATTGGTTTGTGTCTTGCCTCTAGAATCCTTTTGTTGAATGATTCTATAAAGTTGTTGTCAACTATTTGATTCTTGCATGTTGTGTCGAAATAAGCCTTACACCAGTTTTGTAGAGGGTACCAAATTAGGTGTTTAGCAGCCTGTTCGGAAATAGTCCCTAGGGTCCTCAATTGATCTTTGAATTTGTCATCATAAGAGCTCCAAGCACACCACCACAATAGCTTTTTCATCTTTACACCTCTCTAGTACTTGCTCCAGTTAGCTTCTATGTGCCTAACACACCATCTGTGATGTGATTTAGGATCCACAGTTGCAACAACATCAATCAAACCCTGCAATAATAAAAAAAAATAAAAACAAAGAAGGTGAGTCTTTTAGTAGTTAAAGTAAACTAACAGTGAAAAATAATGTAAGTTATTAATGGTATTACCTTTTGCATGTCTGAAATAAATGTTACTCCTTCACATCTACCAACTCTAAGGAAGATTTCAACAGCCCCATAAACCACTTTCAAGTTCTACCTGTTTCTCTATCCACCACTGTCCAAGCAAGTGGATAAAAGCGTTTGGCAGAATCTTATGTTATAGCTACCAATAAAATTCCTTTGCATTTTCCTTTTAGAAATGTGCCATCCAGACCTATTAGAGGCCTCAACCCTGTTTTCCATCCACTTTTCAAATCGTGAAAGCATATATACATTTTAATAAATCTCATCTTTCCCTCTTCCGAAGCATCATTTGATATGTTTATAATCTGTACCAGGGTTACTATCCCTCAACTATTGAGCATAGGCCTCTAACCTATTATAGTCATCAATGTAGCTACCCTATAGCTTCTCTAAGACCATTCTCTTAACCCTCTTCATCTTTGAACATCTAACATTAAGTCTGACTCTATCCTCCAAGTCCACCCTCACATCTTTGACTTTGTACTTGGGAGTAGCTCTTCTATTCCGAAATGCTGGACCACATTCATGTTTTGTGTTCAAGTCTTAACCTTAAATCCCTGATCTCTATTATCCTTGGATATAAAATGCCCTAACATCGGGTGTTTTAGGGGTAAAACAATGTATGTTGGGTCGGGTCGGTCTATTTGGGTTATGGGTAGGGTAAAATTC